GGAGTCATAATTGTTCCTTACACTCTGCAGCAGTGCATGGGTCTCAGCAGATGTAAAATTAGGCCCCTTTTTTTGTCCATCTTTCCAACTCAATGGTTTGGTCAGGTCAGCAATTAGTTTAATAGGTCTGGCCTTGCTATTAATTACATAATTAACCACAGGCCCTAACCAATCTGGACATGCATTCCAGGTGTGTATTTGCAATTACTTATTATTCAGAGACTGATGTAGGCCTACTGACTGAAAGAACAGTCAGAACACAGTCATGGCAGGGATTGTTCACATCTTCCATGCTGGAAGGAGAGGTTACCGCCAAAGGGTCCACACCGAGCGCCCCAAACCTCTCCAACAACAGAATAACTTTTTCGATTTGGACTTGATGACATCAACTACATTGCTGATCTGGTCAGGCCACAACTGCAGTGCAGAACCTTGCGGAGTCATGCTCTGACTGTAGAGGAACAGGTCCTCATTGCCCTGCCCTTTTACGCATGTGGAACATTCTATCAGGTCATAGCTGACAGCATGGGAGTCCACAGGACAACAGTGGGTGAAGTGGTGACAGCTGTGTCTGGTGCACTGGCTCGCCTGCTGGATCACTTTGTGACTTTTCCCAATGATGGCCAGATTGCCAAAGTGAAGCAGCAATTTTTTCTTCTGGGAGACATGCCCAACACCATTGGGGTGATCGACTGCACCCATATACATATTCAAGCACCTCGTCAGAGGGAGTGGGAATATGTCAACAGGAAAGGGAGGCACAGCATCAATGTGCAACTTGTGGGAGATGCTGACCTTGCTATCACCAACTGTGCAGTGAGATGGCCCGGGTCAGTCCATGATGCACGAATCCTCAGAGAGAGCCGGTTGTTCACTGAATTCCAAACCAACAGGCCGGATGGAGTTATATTAGCCGACAGTGCCTACCCACTCCTACCATGGGTGATGACACCTTTTCCTCCGGCCAACACTCCCTCACAGATGCGCTACAACAACGCCCATGGAAGAACAAGGTGTGCCATTGAGCGCTTGAATGGAGTACTGAAGAGGCGTTTTGCATGCCTGAACTATCTGAGAGTGGAACCCCAATGAGCATGCTGCATAACACTGGCTTGTATTGTGCTACACAATATCGCTGTCCATCGCAGAGTCCCCCTCTCTGACATCGATGATCCCCCAGAGCCCCTTGCACCTGCTGATGATCTAGGCCCACCTATGGATTTCCCTCTAAATGAGAGACTGAGTGGTGGTGCAATGCGAGATGCTATTGTCCGCAATTACTTTTGAAAGGTGATGACAGATGATGGAAACATTTTTTGTTGAAGATATTTTTTCTTTAATCTAAATTACATTTGTGATTGACAATCTTTGTTGTGATACTTTTGAGCATAAACATTTATGTCATAAACATTTGGTTGAAAACAAAATAGGCCACCACAAACGTGAGCAAAAATGGAAAAATAAAATGTATTTCCCATGAAGGCTAAAAATTGTGTATTATTTCATTTAACAAACTTTGCCATCTTATTTAAATTGAAACATATTTTTAAATAAATTGTACAGTACATTTTGCTCTGGAAATCCACCCCTCTGGTGGGATCAGGATAATCCAGTTTTTTGGGATCAAACTGATCCCAATCCTGTGTTGTCGGTTTGAACTACCCATTTTGAAGATTTGATCCAGATTAAAGCTTGGATTGGATTTCCTGATCTGATCGGATATCAAAATGATCCTAATCCTGTTTTTTGGTTTTGAACTACCCAAAATCCAAATCTGATCTGATCAGATAGGGATTAAAAGTGTTGAACTCCTGGGCCCTGGCGTCTAGGATCCTCATCCTGAATGTTATGGCGCATTTCCACTACACGGTCGGCCTCGGCCACACTCGGTACGGCTCGGTACGGCTTGGCCGCGTTGGGCCTTAACAGGGCCGACTCACTTCATGCTGCGCTTCCATTACAGTTTAGGAACTGGGGTAGTTACTATAGTAACGCAGTGTAGGCGGAGCCGTAACGTCATCTTCAATGAGAAATCCAGAAACACAACACAGCCGTTAGCTGTTAGCACTCAGAGCTCACAGCTCCTTATATATGTTCAGAAACTCGACAAAAGTTAAACAAGTACACACCACAGACTGCCTGTGTCATGGTGAATACAGTCGCTGCTTTATTTATGTCTGTATAGGCCGTTGTTGTGAGTGTGGACGGTCGGGGCATATACTGCGTTAGCTTAGCCAATCTCCATCTAGAAAAACACGAATTTTAAAAGGTTTTTCGCCTGCCGTCTGTCTGCAGACTTGACAAAGCATTAATTCATGGTTTTTACTAACCGGTATCAGTATGTTGTTACTTCGGCATCAATTTGAAACGTGTATTACAATTAAATCACGGTCAAATATGTCCATCTTGTTGTAGTTCTAGCCCTCTTGCCAGCGCTCCTCTCTCTAGTTTAGCATACTCAGCCCGACTCAGCCCTGTTTGTTGGCCCCGATAGAACCACAATTTTCTAGGGCCAGAAAAGAGGGGAAAAAGTGGCCCCGCGCCGTGCCGCGCCGGAACGAGGCCTAGTGGAAGCACAACCAAAAAAGGGGACGGCACGACACGGCACGCTTAAAGCGAGCTACGCGCTGCAATGGAAATGCGCCATTAGACTCCCAGCCTTGGGACCATGGATAAATAACGAAAAAGTCACAAATGAAATGGAGAGTTTATTTCTGCAGGTAAAGATGACTTTGCTTTTACTGCCAACACTGCTGGCTCACCTTTATGCTTGACATATTGTGAATAATCAGCAAACCACAAACAATTTAATCTTGAAAGACATTTTCCCAACTAATTCCTGAAGAAATTGCTAGTGGGAATGCTTTATGCTGAAAATCTCACGCTAAACTGCTATGCTGAAATGTAATGTGTAAGAAGAAAGTGAAGAATTTAGATTGAAATGATACATGAACACTGGGGGCTTGAATGTATGATAAGAGAAGAAAAGAAAGTAAAAAGGCTTGGAAAAGCAGCAGAATATTTGAACTGCAAACTTTTGAACTAACTTGATGGTGAATGATCTGTCGCCATGCCAACGGCATTTGATGACACCAATAATGTCTAAAATATGTGGAACGTGTTGAAGTCAATATGAAGTCTCCATCAGACGGAAAAGAATAGGCTGAGACAGTGGCCGTTTCTCAATCGCGAGGATATTGGCTTCCAAGCCAATATTTCAAGGATGCTACGTCATCGAGTGCCGCCGAAGGACTGTTCCAATCTCCAGCATACTTGGAATTCCACCGAGGCCGCGTCCTTGGTTTGGGGGAAATTTCGAGGCTGCACATGGGTAGACTTCGCGTCCTTAAAATCCCCACAATGCTTTGCGCACGGACCAATTTCAAAAACCCTTGCGGAGAATGGCTGAACCGACGCAGCACACATTTAAATGTAAGTATGTAGTGGCGTAGAACATGTGTTGGTAAATATGTTACTTTGTTACATTTGTTTGTTATCACCAAAAATGTGTTCCGTGAAAGTAAAGTAAGTTCATAATTAGATAGACATCGTGAGGTATTTATTTTCGGTACAGTTTATGTTGAAACCGTTAGAGAGAGTGGCACACTTGTTAGCCTGTTCCATTCTTCTTCGTTTTCCGAAGCCGTGGCTTGGAAGCATACTTGCTTCGTTTCTGAAGGAAGTGACTTGGAAGTACGCGACTACCAAGCCAGCATCCTCGCGATTGAGAAACACCCAGTCTGTTAAACTCCAGTGACCACGTCATTAGTCTGCTGCTCTAATTATGTCAATTGGAGTTATGACATCGTGTTCCATGACACAGGTGTTTATATTTGAGCTAACGACGTGTCCAGAGATCAAAGGTTTCCATGGTGATTAGTGAGAGGAAAGCATTTTCATTGTTCTGAATGAGAGATAAACCTGTTACATGTGAACGTTTTGTTGAAGAACCGTAACAGATATCGGTGAAATTTCAAAGCGTGAAGCATGTCAAGGAACTTGAGCATCTGAAGTGTACTTTTTGTGTACTTTCGGGTTAATAATGTGGCCTTTTTGGCAGATTAACTAAAGGTGTGCGGCTGCTGTGGTGGGGAAAGGTGAGTCTGAACTTACAATGGGGTTTAATGGAGACATGGTGAAAGTTTTTGTCACTTCAAGCCCTCAAGAGGCATTTTGTTTAATTATTTTGCTTAATTTCTTTTTATCTTTCAAGCTACGAGATGTTTTCCTACGTTTGTCATGAGAAATTATGTATCAGGAATGTAGGGTTTGGGAATTATGGCAGGTTTAAAAGAAAATATGAAGGCAAAATTAAATCTGTCCTCCACTCTAGCTGTGACATCACGCACTCTCAAATCTGAAGGCGGCCTCTTTACCAAGGTCTGAACAATGTTTAATATCTCTAAAAGTAAGAATCAGATTTAAAAGTTGTGTTGCACGAATAATGTCAGAAAGATTTAACATTTTAAAGTTGGAATGAGGTTTCTGAGTGAAAGTATGAAGGAACAGTTAGCAGTTGAAGTTGCATGAAGATTGTTGAAGTCTGAAGAGTTCTCCATTGACTTCCATGTTAAAAATGGGATGTATTATGGGATGTATCTCTGGAATTATGAAAGTTATGAATGATAAAAGTAATAGCCATTGATTCCCGAACGAGCTGAACGTTTTGATGAACGGAGTTTCTGTGATGTTCAATGTGGTGAAGAAGCAGCGCAAAATAACCCGGCGGAATAATAAAGAATTTTGTGCGTAGCATAACAGATAGTGGGAATGCTGTGTCAGCATTCCCACTAAATGAGCACTCTAACGTTATAACAGGTAGAAATACAGTATATCTTCAACATTGTTCTTTACTGTCGATCTCTCAATTCACAAATGCAACAAACTCGTTTTTTTTATAGAACTGTATAAGCCGTGTTATCACGTACGTTTCTTCAAACAAGAATTGCATATACTTGTGAAGGCATATCTTCTGATCAGCTCAGGAAACCTCACACACATTTCATCAAAAATGTTCCTAACTTTATTAAATTAGTCAAATCTGATGTAAACATTGCACAAATGTAACAGGACATACATGTGTTTGACATGAATGCAGATCATGTATCTGATGTATTTATTAATCTGCCAGTTTAATGGTAAACACACACACAATACATTATTTCAGTTTTAATACAAATTGACAACTGGTGTTGGCTAAAGGCTGTGACAGCCTATATTAGTAGTGGGATTTACTCCAAACTAGCCGGAAGCAGCAACAAAAATGTACATTGTACTGAAATGACAGAGACTGGGGCCTCTGTTTGAGAGGTCAGCACCTTTATAAAAACATGAACATGTTAGACCTGCTGTACCTGTGTCTGTCAATGGGGAGGAAGAAGACTTCTGTTACATATGATGTCCCACCATGGTCCATCAACAGCGTCCCGCCAACAAAAGGTAGTCCAACGCAAGCATTAGCTCTAAAAAAAAATGTGGACAGGGTTGTGGGGGGGGGTTTAAATATGTAAACATTTTAAGTTCCGGTATTCTACAGACTTAATAAAAAAATCCTGGTTTGGTACAGATCTTCTTACAAAGATTGTGATGATCATACTAATATATTTTTTAACTGATATTGCTAATAATGTTGAAAATTGTCAATGCTATCAACATTTCAATATTAGTCAAAATAGTTGCCGACTTGACTATTTTTTCCAAATCGGGCAGCATTAGTTTGAGCTGATTTTGCATTTGAATAGAATGAAATGGAGAATAGGGCTGGGCAATATTTGAATATAGTATCAATATCTTTTTATTAGACTAGATTGTAATTTACATTTCTGATATAGTTATACTTAACAATTGTCTTTTTGGTGTATTTTTGTTCTATTATTAGCTTTAACCTATTACCCATTATATCTGAATTACTGATGATTATTTATCAAAATTCCCATGTTGAAATATTTTGTGAAAGCACTAAAAGTCAACCCTACAATATAGTATCTTCAATATCGAGGTATTCAAATCGGAAATATAGTGACATTTGATTTCTCCATATCGTCCAGCCCTAATGGAGAATGTTTAATATCCCAGTAAGGAAAGCTCCCTGTAGGCTAAGGGTGCATAGTTAGCTGTTAGCACTTAGCCATTCTACTAATGATGAAGCAAAGCTGGCATTACTGCTATGATAGCCATATCCATGTTACCAACAGACCTTTTTCATGCTAATGTTACTTTTGTAAGTGGGGTTCTATGTAGCCTGTAGGACGTTCCTTCACTGAGGCTTCACTTTGTGTAGTCTGGCCTGGCCAATGTGTACAGATGGATATCAGTGTGGCCTGTGGTACAGATGCACCTGTAAACAGTCATTTTGATGGTCTCCATGAGTGACTTTAATTCAAAGCCCTTCAAATGTCTTTGAATAATCCATCAGGCTGGGGTGTTCTCCTCCTGGCCTCTCAGAGGTTCTCCTTACTTCCGTTTGCTCTTGGTGTCAGTGGTCTGGAACACACTGGAGGCAGACATGAGGTTCTCAATGTACTGACCCAGAACCTGGTTCTCTGACTTCAGCTTCAGGTTCTCCTCTTTGACGCCATCCACTCTGGAAGACAGGTCTGAACACACACAGAAATGTTATACAGCTGAATGGAAGCTAAATTGCTTTTATTGTTGATCATGTGCCCTTAATGAAACAAGAGGGATCCACATAAACAATCATCTTAAACAGCAGACTTTGCACTCAGTACTTCTTCTTTCAAACAATGTTATTTTGACCATCACCTGCTATATATGTGGCGTCTTTCATTATTACTTACTTCTACTATCTTAGCAGTGGAAAGGGTTGCAAGACATTGTATAATAAACGTCAGTAGGAGCTCAAATTGGCTTTAATGAATGGAAAGGTGTAACAAAACTTTGTGTTTGGAAGAGCTCAATATTGATCATCATTACGGCAACACATGCATGATTCTGTTAACCTTCATATGAACCTGAATAACAAACTTGTTGCTTTGTCTTCTTTGATTGCTTAGGCCAGAGATTAACATTAGGCAGGTAAGTCTTTTGAGCTCATTAATCACTGCAATATTTAACCATCTCAATTAAATACCACATCGTTTACATAGGCCCACAGACCGGACCTATTGATCAGCTAGTAGTAGCAAATACAACGAAACGCCTTTCTTTGTTTGCATCTTAAGTGGGAGAAACCAAAGAGAGAAGGGTGTTTTGTTTTATTTGACAGCCTTTCAATAATGAGACAATGAAAGTTATGCCAATTAAAGGTAGGGTAGGTAAGTTTGAGAAACCGGCTCGAGATCGCTAGAATTTGAAAATACACAACCGGAGAAAATCTGCCACTTCCTTACAGAGCCCCTCCTCCAACACACACGAACGCGCACATGACCAATGAGGGCACAAGATAAGTTTGTGCACAGATGGAAGGCTGACAGGCAGGTAGGCCATCCAGTTATTTTAGCCGGGCCGGCTAAAATGATTGGTCGTACTTTTTACAGTACTACAGCTTCCACAGATGACATTTTTTTATGGATTTTTTGTCAAAGCACTGAAGATATTCATTGCTATCGGGATGTTAAGAGCATTCCATGGAATATAACAACAAGAGTATCTCGAGCCGGTTTCTCAAACTTACCTACCCTACCTTTAATGCAAAAATGATTAGATAAAATCACCAGTTGTGTTGTTTTAACGAGTTGGGCGGTGGCCCATAAGCTATGTAGCTAAGCTAAGTCAAATATAGAATATTAGAATAGAATATTTTTCCCTGATGTCCATGTGTATAAAGCCCCCATGAATCAACATGATAATAACGCACAAGGTCAAACTGTAGATGCTCTTTTGGTATGCCATCTAAAAATGATGTTTCCTCACGGCAGACTCTCATCAATAATGACCCCTGGCGCATCATAATTACGTCGCTCAGTGTAAGAGCAGTCGCTCAGTGTAAGAGCAGTCGCTCAGTGTAAGAGCAGTCGCTCAGTGCCGCAATTTTCAATTCATAAGTTCTTATACAATCTCCTTCAGATATTTTCCTAACCCAGACCCAGCATCATGGGTGACTCACTCATTCAGGAGTTTCACTCATTCAGGAGTTTTGCCCTCCCAGGAGAAGTCAGCGTTATTATTTGTATGTTATTTTTTGTTTGTTATGATTTATATATCACTGTTGTGATTTGATCGGATTTAAGTTTTTTGTATTAAACTGTCTTGCAACATTAGTGTATGGGATATGTTTTATTGTGGGATGAAAGTCAGAAAGAATATGCTCGGTGTTGGATTACATTGGTCTAAGTGCCCCCTCTGGTGGTGATCGAGGAGACTGGTTTTGAGTGATTTTGGGCAGGTTTTGAGCAGTTTATTTTTAGGTTTTCATGAAGTCAAGCAGCAAACGTCTGGCTAGCTTCTTAGATTTAAGCATTCATATTTCTCTTGGAAGATAGTGATCTACCAGCAAAAAAAACACACGACAAGAACAAGCTACTACAAGCAGTTTTGTAGAATGAAACAGGGACTAGCTTTGAGGCTAAACCCGTGCTAGCAAACGAAGCAGGGACAAGTAAGGCTCCCAAGGCCCTCCATCTCCATCAGCACCGGGGCCCCCCGGGTCGCCTTTACAGAGCCTGGCATCAGTTGTTCATCTCTAAGCCTTTCTCACAACCCTGATCTTGGAGATTTAAGCTGTGTATTTTCAGATATCCTCTGCGTGGATAAAACAAAACCGATTTTCCCAAATCGTACTAAAACGTAGTTTTGCCAGTGCATGGTACCAAAACAGACCCTGGCTTGAGTACTCTTTGAAAGGTGCTGCTGTGTATTGTTTCCCATGCAGACAGTTTAAGGCTCATGCATTATCACATTTAATGTTTACAGCTAAAGGCTTCAGAGACTGCAAACATGACTTACAAAAGGTTAAGGCAGTGGATCCCAACCTGGGGGTGCACCCTATAGGGGGGGACGCAGAGCTTTTGCAGGGGGGGGCGTGTGAATAGTACTTAGTAAAAGTTGATTAATATATTTTCATTAAAAAAAAGGCCATTATTTCACAGTGGCTCAGGATCATTTGCCAATACCAGGACTTTCGTTCATGTTCAATCCATAATAAAATATTAAATTATCTTTGTGTCTTATTATTAGGAGAGAAAATGTAATGTTTGAACAACTATATACAATTAATCCTACCAATCTCGGTTGGAACCGGGTTGGGGGGGGGGGGGGGGGGGGGGGGGGGGGGGTGGGCTCGAAAATATGTCCAATTACGCAAGGGGGGCCTGACTGAAAAAGTTTGGGAACCACTGGGTTAAGGGATTTAACAAACATGGCTCTACTAAGGATCCTTTAGTGTGGGATAGGTTTTTGAGAGAAAAACAAATGCGCATTGTTTCTGGTCAGGAAATCCCAAAGCTTGTGAACAAAAACCCGCTGGCTCACAATGAATATTAAATGGCTCCATCTTTGACATTTCGACATATCAGTCATCTTCCTTTCAGAGGTGACCATGACTCTTTAAAATGTCAGGCACCGTCTGCTAGTGGGTTATGACTATACACCCGGAAAAAAGCTGGCCCCCACCATTCCTAAAAATGCAACCTACATTCATAATGAAATAATTGAATGTAAAACTCCCTCAAAAGGAACTGGGAAGAGAAATCCCATAATATATAATATACCTCTACAAGTTCAGACAGAAGCCCACCTTTGCTGCCGATCATCGGGGGAACACACTGAAGTGTTTACTTGAACATGGACCTTTAAACTGCCGTCTAGCTTGTCAACAAGGCCAAAGACTGTTGAGGCCAAAGACTGTGTGCACCCGAAAAGTGTTCATGGAGATGTGGAATGAGTGCGCTGAAGAGAGAGGCTATTAACTTCTGCCAGATCAAAAGAAAGCACACTCTTAACAGAAATGTGGATTATTATGTTGTGGAAGTGACAGGAACACAAGAAAACCAGGAGATTACAGAGCAAATGCGGCTGTTTTACAGCTGTATTGATTCAATTGCGGGGGAGAGCAGCTTCTTCCTGGACCCAGAACAAGTGAAACCCCTGCTAAACTGACTGGAACTACGCTTGTTGAAGCTGAATTCATTATAGCCCGAAAGCTCATTTTTAAACTCAGGGAGGGTTCCACACCACCAAGTGGAAAAAAAGTGTGTATGTGTGTTTGTGTGTGTGTCTTTGTCGTACCCTCTAAAGTGTGTTGAAGCTCCAACACCTGGTTGATGAGCCTTGTCTTCTCCTCCAGCTCAGCCTGGTTCTCCATCTCACCTGCACCAGGTAAAGGGACAGTTAAACACCATGCACTGACTCTGTGTGTGTGTGTGTGTGTGTGTGTGTGTGTGTGTGTGTGTGTGTGTGTGTGTGTGTGTGTGTGTGTGTGTGTGTGTGTGTGTGTGTGTGTGTGTGTGTGTGTGTGTGTTTTGTCTCACCATCGTCTGAGCTCATGGTGAAGTACTAGTCTTCTTTTTTGGAATGCAGGGCTGCGACTATGGAACGCTGCAAGATTTGGCAAAATTGTACAATTTAACAATATGTTGAAAATGCTCTTATTCAAACAGAAACAAAGTCTTAAATACTGGGGTCCCACAGGGCCGTTTCTTTTGACCCATGCTCTACTGCAAATAAACAAATGAAAAAACCTGCAATGACAACATAATGTAATCTTTTAAATATGCGTTTTCACACCTACTTATTTATTATATTGTTTGTATGTTTTGTATTGTAGTCTTCTATGGGTTTATGTTTTTATGTTTGTTAAGAGTTAAACTAAACATTTCCTTTTATTTTGAGTTCATTCATATTTTCGCCTAAATGGGCGGTAGCGAGAAGGCTGCTGTCATTTGCATTCATTTCTCCATAAAGTGCATACACGTCCACAAAGATGTAGTTCATGGTACGCATCATGACTTAAGAACATGATGGTTTAAAAAAAGATATCGTTATTTTAGCGGAGTAACGTTAGTTACATGACAATAGTCACTACACAATTCAAACAGCCTGAAGAGAAGCAGACCTGAGCAGACAGCACACATACAGCAGGGCTGGAACTGGAAGTCTTGTGATAACTGTTAGCTTGTTAGCTTGCTTTATCAACCGGTCGACAGGAGAGACTGTTAGCTTGTTAGCTAGCTATAGTAGCCGGCTGAGAGGCCTGCTGGCGGAGAAAACAAACCCTGAGCAAGGCCTGCTGCTAACTACCGGTTAGCATGCTTACTTACATACACTAGACATATAGGATTTGCTTGCAGGGTTAAAATGAATAAACGATAATATCAACTTGGAATACAAACCTGACGACGCGAAGATCGAAAACTGCTGCTCTGAAGAGGCTAGTTAAAATAAATAAAACAATGAAAGTGTTTATGTTCTCACAGCTGTGATTGACACCATCTTTGTTCAGTATGGCTTGTAACGTTACACCATACAGCCGCCAGGGGACGGCCTACCTGCCTGAAGACACGAGAGGCTTCTCAATACTTTAATTTCCCCTCCTCGACTCCTATCCTCGAGACTTAGTCCCGCCCACAGGAGATGCGAGCGGAGGACTGAGGAGGGGAACCGAGGAGAGAGGAGGGGAAGCAGCAGGCGGTTAGAGAAATGAGAACTCCTCTCCTCTGAGCGGTCATTTTAAAGAGACATCCATTAATGATGACAGGAGGCACAGCAGCACTCTGTCTGATGGACAGATGTGTTCATGACGACTTATATATTTACTTTTAATTCATTGACAGTGCGGTATAATGAGACAATAACGGGCCGTCTCCACAGCAGCGTTAAAAAATCTTGAAACGCTTCTGCCCATTCACTTTGAATGGGGTGACGTCACTTTCCCTCACTTTTCGCCGGAATGCATTGTGGGCAGGCGAGCGGAGATTCTCAGGATTTTCAAGATTCAAAGTTGAACAATGTTCAACTTTTGAAGCTGAGGTGGAAGCGGCAGCCAATCAAATCCCGTGTACGCAAATCTGGCAGTTCAAGCTCTAGCCAATCAAACGGCGTGTATGCTGGGAGAGACATACCGCAGATCATTTCCTCATATTCCAAAAAATGGAGGAGAAATTAGCGGTAGCGAATCAATCACCCGGTGCTTTATGACCAGACCTACCGGGATATAAACCGGAGGAGCCAGGCATGGAGGGAGGTGGCAGAGACAGTGGTATGTTTTCGCCTGTTTTGGGGAGTTTATATCCAGTTTACTTCGGGCTTTTTGGCTTCGTATGTCGCGGGCGGGAGATTCATGTGATTGGTTGATCGCAAAAAAATCCCCAAGCCTCAGATACGCCCACCTCCAAGATTTTTTTAACGCTGCTGTGGAGACGGTCCGTAACAGGCTACAGATGCGGGGACACACCATAGACTGTATATATAAAGGGACACACACACACACATATACATACATACACACACACACACATATACATACATACACACACATATATATATATATATATATATATATATATAATTTCAGAATCAAACAAGTATGAGAGCACTCTCATAATACGTAACACAATCAGAGACTGGATATATCCCCCCCCCTCTCTCTGGTCGCTGAAATGGGGAATTTACGGGCCAAAAGTTGTATTTACAAGTATTAAAAGTAAGCATAGGACACCAAACCAACTGAGACCCGTCTGTCCGCCGCATCTACGCACTGTACAACACGCACCTACACACTGTACCACACACACACACACACCTACACACTGTACCACACACACTTACAGCTCCTAAAGCATAATCAGGCTACAGCCGTTGTGTATTTTATTATGTGAAGCACTAAATGGTCTTTTAGAAAAATATCGACTCTTTGTTTGTAGATATCTACTAAACTACAGCATACAAATACAGAGAGTAATGTAGGCCTGTTATACTGAGTGATATATATTTTACACACTGCTCTGCTTTCTGCACGGACCTCACAGCTGTTCTCACTGTAAACATCGCGTCGCGATGAAAGCAGTTACTAAAATAATATCCAGGGGATGCATGCAGAGCTGTCATTGGCTGAGATAAGTCCGGCCGTGCGTCACGCCTCCACCGTTCCCGGAAATGCATCCGTGGAGGAGCCGTGGAGGATGCATCAAGCCCATGGATGTATGGGAGGCGGGGCCTCATTCATTCCTATGAGAGTTGCTCATTCGCGCATGATGATAAAATGACCCAACTTTTGAGAGAGCGAAACGTCACAGATTACCCGGCATGCCTGAGAAGTACCCGTATGTGCGCTCATAGCGCATGCGCAACTTTAACCATGCCCCCCAAAATGCTCGTTCACATCAAGCACGTCCATTTGCGTACACGTAACAGCACCGCACGTTCATGACAGCATGGTAATGTTTGTTATGATAGATTTGATATTAACGAGGCGGCAGTTAGCAGCTAGCGGTTAGCTAGTAATTATGCTAATTTACACATCAATCGTTATGTACTTTTATATTACGCTGTAACAGGATCTAGTGATATCCAAGCAACAGAGCTTCATTTAGCATGAAAGAATTATTGCACTGTATATATATATATATATATATACCAGCGACGTGCAGTCAGTGGAGGCAGGGGAGGCAGAGCCTCACCTGTCATACTCCAATGTAACGGAAAAACAATTAAAGAAAAACTAAATAGTAATAATAATAAAATGTCTCCACTGATCTGTGTTGTAAATGTGATTTCTGTATGATTCCAATCGCATTTTATAGTCAAAATCAGCAAATTGGCCGAGCTCCGCTACGGGAGCGATGAGAAGTGAGGCAGGCACGAGCACTGCCTCTCGTAAGCCTACAGTAACTTGCTGGAGCGCGGGCACTAATTTAGCGCGGCCACTTATTTTGTGAGCGCGCTCAAGCCATTTACTGTGGGGTGACGCATTCTGAGGTGAGGCACAGATGAGCTCTGCCTCAATTCAGAATGCGTCACCCCACAGAAACTGGCTGGAAAGCGGGCCCTAAGCGCATGCCTGTTCCCATCTCACTGTAGGTCACCAATGTAATGTTTCTAGATCCCTTTATTACATTTATCCTCGCCATCCATAGTCTCTAAATAACTTATTTCACGTATATATGATATTTAGGCTCGCTACACATATACAACGGCAATGAAAAAATCACCAGGGGAGGCAGCCATAACCCCTGCCGCACTGAAGGGGGCGCACGTGAGCCCACAGGTTCTTGTTGCTACTGTTATTCTACCGCAAACAACAAACTAGACTTTTGAAACTACAGGAAGATAAGGACGACTTTTACAAAACAGTAATAGAGATTGTTGTCCAGAAGGATAGCATGGACTTCTATTCATCTTCAAGTCAAGGTAAGACCACAACTGTAATGAAAATGGGATCTTACTTAGAAAGAACAATCCAATATTTAGATTTTGGGTATCCTTTTGTTGATCGGTCTGTTTAAAATTAATCATAGCATCAGACTAAAAAAGCTTTTGAAAATAACAGAATATTTCGATTAAGGTCAAAATAGGCTATAATATTTGTAAATCTGACTCTGAAAGAGTCAGTGCCTCACCAGCCATGAACCTCACCGCACGTCACTGATATATACACAGTGCAATAAGCTTCTTAGTGCAATAAGAAGCTACAGGGACGTTAATCTACGTCGGTAATATTAACTTTATTTAATACAACATTTACGGTACAAGATTTAATCATACAGCCCATGTAGTATACTATTTTACAAATGATGAATTACAGCAAACATGTGCAATATATCCATTATTACAGCTCCGTGGGCTGGCAGTAAGGCGATATGGGTCCGTTCTTATTGTGCATCCATGGGTAAAGATAAACGCATGTAGTGCTGAACACGTAACATGAAGGTGCCGGGCGGCGCGGTCCCGTGGGTTAGATGCGCGTTCATAATGCAGAGGGAAATAACTCACAGAATAACATTATTAGCACATTTTTACAACTTGAGGAACGAATGTTTTTAATAAGGGCTATACAAGTGTTCATACTGGGTAGTTTATTTAGTTTAAAAAAAATTATCCAACGATTTACAGACCACTCTTTCCCCATGTAAGTCAATGGGAAAAAGTGTTTCCGGGCCTGGCAACCAAAAGGAAGTGTAGTACCGCCCAGTGGCGACTGGTCATTAGGGGCAGGTGTATGGAGCTAATTTCCTGCCATAACTCCACAAACAAACTAAACAGGTTTTACAAATGCCTTATGATTCACTAACAAACACAATGTGGTTTGCAAATACAAAACACCATCTACAAACTAATGAATTTAGTTTTGCAAAGAAAAAACGTATCTATCAAACAAACACATAACATTTTTCTAATAAATCATGTTTCAGAGACAAATTCAGCTTAGGTTTTACAAGTACACAACTTTTTTTTACAAGTGCACAAATTTGTTTTACAACTACAACACTTTGTTTTACAACTACAAAACTTTTTTTTACAAGTGCACAAATTTGTTTTACAACTACAACACTTTGTTTTACAACTACAAAACTTTTTTTTACAAGTACAAAACTTTTTCTTCTCACGGCGGAATATTACTGCCAAAAGTCACGTGACTGGAATATTACTGCCAAAAGTCACGTGACTGAGTCACGTGACTTTTGGCAGTAATATTCCGCCGTGGTTGTGCTCATACACACTCACACATGCTCACTCACACATGCTCCACGGCAGCAGGGGGCACTACTGAGTCCATTGGGAAGGCGGGAGGTTGAGCAGAGCATGGAACAGCTCTTGCCAGCCTGATCATGACAGCGGTGTTTCTAGCGATCCAGCATCTGAATTTAGCGATCACAACGAAAACAGCCAAGACACATATTGAGTAAATATAATAAGCCTTTGTCTAAAATAGACAACATTGTAACTAAGGAGATTTAAACTATACAGCGATTTAAACTATACAGCGATTCTGCACTCGGTCAATCAGCTGCTCTTCATTTTCTTTCCTGCTATATTCAATGAGTGATACAAATATTTTTTACCATACGTTCTGAATAAAACTGATACTGTTGGACTCGGTACTAGTTGACTGCTACCAGAAATAAAAGGAAGTACTTTACTGTGTACTTTGTGAGTAATCCTCTGTCAGAGTCCCCTCCATAGTACATAATGCATGTTTTTTGCTATCTTTGATGAATGATAAAAGGGTCATTCCAGAATTGGAGGACAATTTAGACACCAACATTTTTGAAAAATGAACCTTTCATTTGATTATTTTTTGTTATGTATTTAGGAAAAACAGATAATAAACCATAAAAAAAAGTGATTTGCCCAGCTAAGGCATCAAATGTATATTTTCCAATGAAGAATTAACCCTGTTACTCTAATTATAGTAACAGGGTTGCAAGTAACAGGGTTGAAAATCAATGCTAATTTTAGCTTTTACCTCAGGAATTAATGCTAGCTGCACAATGTAATGCTATTGTCAAGGAATGGACACACTTTATATTATATTTATATTTATATATATTTAACAAAAGAAAGATACATTTGAAATTAATTTGTTTTTGTCTCATAATTTG